CCCCCACCCCCCCAAAAAAAAACGAACGAACAAACAAACACACACATCAATGCTCTCATTCTAGGCAGACTTCCCAGTCGCATCCCTCATCGCTGGTGACCTCTCTGCTTGATATACAATCCAATCCCCACACAAATCCGGTCACCTTCTAAACCCCCTTACAGCCTTACCCCTTCCTATCCAGCAATTTGGACCAAATGTAACCTTTTTTTTCCTCCTAGACTCCTCCAAAAATCAAATTATTTACCTCTCATTAATACGAGTCGTCGTGCGAGCACCTTTAATCGCGGAATTATCAAAGATGTCTTTATGAAGAAAATAGCAAAACCACAATAACAATTCAATATGGCGAAGGAAAATACCTTCTCTAGATTATGAAAAACAATAGATTACAAATCTCTTTCCTCACAATCTCTCTCAAGAATAAAGAGCAATCTCTCAAACTACCATGAGAATCATCCATCCTCAAGCTCCCATGAGGATCGCTAGGTTCCCGAAGCAGAGAAGATACACCCGTATCATGGCTCCCCCTTTAGGAACTTGAAGTTCCGTTCAAGTTAGAACTTCAGCTGAGGAAACTCTAGAGTTCCTCTTTTGTTGAACCACTTGGCCACTAGGAACCTAACCTTGACATCCAACTAGAAACAACTCTTTCGTCCCTCGTCTAGTCGTAGTTACCTTCCGCTCCAATATGCAATCCTCTTTCAGTGGCTCCTCTCTATTAAACCACAAATCTTCAATATGCGGCAAGATCACTTTGTCGTCACCCTCATCGTCAGGCAATAGAGACTCGAACAACTATCACAAAATCCTCTATAAAAGGTCGTAGCAAATCATTCATCAGCATCATAAAGGTTGTTGGAGCGTTGCACAACTCGAACGACATCACCAACCACTCGAACAAGACTTGCTTGGTTTTGAACGCAGTCTTCCAAGTGTCGTCCTCCCGAATCCTCACCTGATGGTAATCAGACTTAAGATCCAACTTTGTGAAGAACCTCGCTCCCTCCAACCAGTCCATAAGATCATTGATCATCAGTAGTGAGTAACGATTCTTGATCGTTATCTTGTTGAGCGCTCGGTAATCCACACGCATACGCCAGCCTCCTTCCTTTTTGGGCACCAATAACACTGACGACCCACAAGGCGAACAACTCAGCACTATCATCCTTTTCTACAGAAGTTCCTGAACTTGCCTCTTTATCTCCTCGAACTCCTATACAGATGTACGGTAAAGACCTATATTCGGCAAGGAACTTTCTCCTGTTAGCATAATCTTATGCTCCACACTCCGTCTTGATGGTAGTCTAGTGATCTCTAAAAACAAGTATGCATACTTGGTCTTTAACCTATCAAGATCTCCCTCTTGAAGTTTGCTCAAGGTAGTCAAGCATACTCTACTCAGCTGCTCTTCATAAGACCTAATGAACAGCAAGACAAACTTCTTTCTTGTATTCACTAGCCTCTTTGCCTGAGTCACCGTCACCAAGTTTGTCTCCTACGGAAGAGACGCAGAACGAAATGCGAACTGCTCGTCGACTTTGTTGAACGTATACTTCTGGGCCCACCTGTCGTAGACTGCATATATATCACACAGATAGGGATTATCCAATATCACCTGACAAACATACAATGAAACTACGTCGCAAGTGATCTCGTCAATATACGACTTATGGAGTGCAAACCTGAAAGTGTATTAATTAACTACACTCAGCCCCACCTCCTTCTGAATCCACCCTAATGGATAGGGTTTTGGATACCCGAACGTCTTCAGACCCAGCTTCTGAACCAAGGTCTCGGAGATCAGATTCTTCTGACTGTCTGGAGCAACTATGACATCTACTAAACTGGTCTTTACTTGCAACTTGATAACAAAGAGCTGCTCTCTGGGGCCTTTGTTCTCCCTCGCGGCCTGCTGTCCTGTCATAAAATTAAGACTGCTGTTGGGCTCCGTCATACCTGGGACTTCTTTTGGACCTTGCGCTATCACATATGCCTTTTTTCGCCTTCTTCAACTCCTTTGACTTGAGATGAGGATACTTCTCCCAGCACCAATCAACGACATGCCATGTCTGTTTGTAAGACTACAAATCAGTCCTATTTTTCCTAGCTTACCTTTCTTCTTCTCCTTCTTAGGTTGGGAACCACTAGACTTGCCTCCAGCCTGCTTGACATCTCCCTTTATCTCATTGCTCTTTTTCTACTTGCCTTCAATGGCAATAGCTTTCACGCTAGCCTTCACAATCGACTCAATCATGAATAGCTTCATTTCTTTTTGGATATATTCATTCAAACATGTCATATACTTCATAACAGAGTACTCTTTCGTTGCAATATTTAGGACCACAGCCTGCTGCTGAAACTCTGTAGTATATTTTTGAACGGTTTAATTGAATCTTTGGAGCAAGTCGTATCACTTGTACCAACGCTCTTCAAGGAATCTCACCGGGTAAAACTATTTCCTAAGCAGATCCTTGAACCTTCTCCATGATACAAATTTTTTCAGTAGAATTTCTACCATGTCAGCACGTGTCCGGAAAGCTTCAGTGTGGCAAAGACGATCTTCTTATTAGACGAGTAGCCATAAAGAGTAAAGTAAGTCTCTATACGCTCGATCCAGTCGTCTAGCCTCTCAACGTCGACACTCTCATCATAAACAGGAATCTTCACTCTGAAGTCAATCTTTAAATTCTGGTAATAACCATTTCCTCCTTGATGTGGAACAGTCTTGACGTCTTCGTCCTCCTTCTTAGAATCTACCTCCTCACTATCTCCATCGGATTCAGTAGGTTGCGTCTTTGGCCCCGTTGTAGATCCATCCTTCTTTTCGCCTCCGTCGATGAGATCGACGAGCTTCGTAAGAGTCGAACTGATTGTCTCATCTGCTTCTCCACCGTATCAAGTCTTGATGAATTATCGCTATCTGTCATCTTCTTCTTTCTTTATTTCTGGACTTCTTCCAGAGAAACAAAAATCTCACCTAGCTTCTCGTATTACGATCGAGTGAGGATCATACACAAGATACGCCCTTCACATGATCTGATTTGCTCTGATACCAACTTGATACAAGTCGTTATGCGAGCATATTTGATCGAGGAATTATCAAAGATGTTTTTGTGAAGAAAATAGCAAAACTATAAGAACAATTCAATATGACGAAGGAAAATACATTCTCTAGATTATGAAGAACAATAGATTACAAATCTCTTTCCTCACAATCTCTCTAGAATAAAGAACAATCTCTCTATTCTCTCTAGATTACAATAGCAAGCACTTTATTGAATCTCAAAACTCTAATTGATGTTTAGGAACCCTAAACAATCTGTGTTTAAAGAGTAATCATCGTGGGTGGCAAAGTGGTAAATATACAAGACAAACCCAAATAGTATTCGCCCAGACTAGGAATCCAAATTGGTCCAATAAATCGCTATCGGTCGACTGATGAAGGGTCATCAGTCAACCGATAGGTCTTCATCGGTCGACTGATAAGGTGAGATCGGTCGACTGTCCAGTGTGGCTATTTTCGCTGCATGCAGGTGCATGTTGTCGGTCGACCGACCAGAGGTATTTTCTCAGCTTCGAATTTTCCTAGGATTATGACAAATCTGCATTCGCCAACTAACTCACACTTCTATTCTCAAGCTACCATGACAATCATCTATCCTCAAGCTTCCATGAGGATCGCTAAGTTCCCGAAACAGAGAAGATACACCCGTATCACTCATCCTCACTCCCCCTCTATCCCTAATCCCTTTCGCTAGCGATCCCCTCCCTCACTCTGAACATAATTGGAAATTAATTCAATCAAGGGTATCTGACTCTTATTTTTTATTCTTAAAAAGACCAATAACAAAATATTAGGGGAGTATACCAAGTATATTCCTTGAAAGAAGTTTGTGAGGGGTAATTTGATTCACTATGGGGATTACCTTCATATTACCTCCACCTTTGATATCCAGTACTGCACTCCCATGACTGAAAAAGAAAAAGAATTGATAAATTCTAATGGAGAAGTTTGATGTAAAATAATTAACAAGAATAAATTTTGATATTTTCCAGAGTATTTCAATAAGATTTAATGATGTAGAAGAAGAAGACGCCATTATTCATCTTTACAACAGCAGCAGAGTCT